TGGACTTTATTTTGGGGGGAATGCATTATCCCTTTCCAATAGTTTTAAAGCATGGATATTCTCTCCAAAACTTATGTTGGCATTATTTTTGGTACAGATTTACCTTAAGTGAGTTTTATACCATTGAAATCTGGCAATACAGAGCTTGAACTATTCTCATTATGCCTTTGTATTCCGTTTCCAATTTAGCATAGTAACATTAACATTGCAAATAATCTCTAAGGAAAACTACACATTTTATTTAGTCATTTATTCCACACTTATTTATTGACTATTACATCTATAGCACTGTATTTGTTTGCATTCAAGGTACATAACAATAAATTAAGGCCTCAGCTTTCTAGTGGCTGACAACTTTGGTGTTGGGAAACAGAAGAGAAGCATTTAATACTAAGAAAAATGTCCTAAAGTGCTGTAATTGCTATGTAAACAAAATTCTGTCAGAGACATAGATGGGAAAATGATTACAAGTCTTATAATTGAATAGTATCCTGTAGATTGCTTGGCGCTGTCATATACATTGGTTTGTTTAATCTAAACAACAATCCAATGAGGTAGTAAATGCAAATATTATTTTTAACACTTAACAAGGATGGAAAGTGATCAAAGTAGCAAGCTCCAGTTTATATTTGATATCTAAATTTAAACAAGGAGAATGCTAATCTTATTTCAATTTAAAATAGTGAATAATAAAATACATTAACCTTTGCTAGGGGAATACTTACAAATAATAATTATAAAAAAATATCCAAAGCAACCATTCAATCCAGGAAGTGTCAGACAACACCAGGTGCCATAACAACTGCTTTGTCTAATTTTAAAGAGAAGAAAAAGGTAAACATGGAATATCCAGAACAATTATTAGAAAACAATCTATCCTCAATAGGTTCAACATGTGCCTGCCTGCAAGCGAAGAGCTGGATCAGATAATCTCCCAAGATTCCATTATCCCTTCTTCCCTGGTACCAAAGTCAAGCTCTCTAAGTATATGAGGCATCAGGTATGTAACTTTTTTGATCCCCCTGGGTGCCAGTGAAGCATTATATATACCTCACAGGAGCTAATGGTCCTCTCTAAGCATCCAATTCATTCTTAGGCAGAAACTTGAGTCCACAGATGAATGAACTAGTGTGTACAAAACCTTTTATGTTCATTCTCACTAATGAATTGGCAATATGTAAAAGAAAAAAAAAACTAAAAAGCAACTGTACCAAATAATGGAAATGAAGGGACTAAATTGTTTTAACAAAAAGTTTATAATTTTTTTATAGTCTAGAATTTTTAAAAGTGGTGATGAAAAGGAGTGTTTGGAATGAAAAATGGGAGATGACTATTAAAAACTTGCATTTACTTTCAAAGTTATTTTACATGTAATAACTCATTTGAGTGAAAAAAAATTATAATCTAACAAAGTAAAGGAAAAGGAGGTTTGGGGGCTGGGTCAAAAGGTGAAGAGACAAAGAAGTACCAATTAGTAATTATGAAACAGTCACAGGGGTTTTGAGTATGGCATAGGGTATGTAATCAGTATTATCGTGATGACTGTGAGCCGTGCCAGATGGGTGCTAGAGTAAACGGGGGATTATTTTATGAATTGTATGAAAACAAAGATAAAAAAAGAAAGAAAGGAAACATTTTCGATGAACCATATGGAGGTTTCAGAGAAACATCTTAAAAGATAAAAATTAAAGGTTAAAATTCATAAATTTGAGAAAACATTATGGGTAGCATGTAACTTTGAGAAAAAAGTTTAAATACAATTCTTATGAAATGAAATTGACTTTTAAATTGAAAGAGCGTCAAAGAAAATCATAGTGTTTGAAACTTAGACAGCTGGATTTGTTCTCACAGGATATGTGAAATATGATCACTAGAATATAAGATCAAAAATAAGAATGTTTTTATCTTGATCACAGATACGTGTCAAGTGCCTTGAATTGTGATAATTCACAAAGGGATTTATGATGAGAACTCTAGATCTTTATAAGAAATATTTTGTTATAAGCAATGCACATTAGGAAACATCAGATTCAGTTTCAAATGAAAATAAACTAATGAGATTATGTTTTATCCATTTTATCTATTCATAAAAACTATTAAGGAAAAAAAGAAGTTAATCACATACAAAGGTTTTAATGCTAATGGTGAGGACTAAAAGTAGATAAAATAATTACTACAAATATTCCAGAAGGAAAGTAGATTATAAAATTTGCCTAATTCCTCCATATGATAATAATAGTGTTCTGACTTCTCAAGAAATAATATCTTAGATGGTATAAAACATATTAAAGTGTAATCTCTAAGGAAAAAATATATATATTATTTATACTTGGGCTTCATTAGAAAAAAACTAAAGAAAAGAAAAAAATCTTTTTCCTTATGAAATTTATAGTCTAGTAAGAAGAGAATGGCTTACTAAATTATTTTATTAATAAAAATAATTAGTAAATGATACTTTATGGTTAGAAGATGGTTTGTTCTATTTAAAAAAATGTAGAGCAGAGTAAGAAGGGTGGAGAATCCTGGGGGCAGGCGTAGATGTGGTTGATAATTGTAGTATAAAATAGGGCAGGTAAGATTGACTCTGTCAAGAAAATAAGATTTAAAAAAGATTGACTTTGTTGAGAAAGTGTGATTTGAGCACTGACTTGAAAGAGATGAAATCTTTTGACAAGTAAATGCCTTCTTAATGATTTTTTTTCAGGCAGAAGTTATAGTTAAAACTAAAATCTAATGTAGGGTCATGCCTGGTAGTTTTAGAAAGAAAAAATAAGGCTCTGGCTGGTGTAAAGGAGATAGAAGAGGAATAATTCAGAAAGTTAATAGAAGTCTGTATTAGTCAATTTGGTCTGCCAAAACAAAATACCATAGATTGGCTTAAACAACAGAAAGTTATTTTCTCACATTTTTGGAGGCTGAAAGGATGCTAGTAGAGTTCTGGTAAGGGCTATCTTCCTGGCTTTCAAATTGTTGCCTTCTATCTGTATACTCACATACCAAATAGAAAAAGAGCAAGCTCTCTGATGTCTCTTCTTCTAAGGGCACTAATCCCACCATGAGGGCCCCAGCCTCATGACCTCATCTAAACCTAATTATCTCCCAAAGGCCCTATTTTCAAATATCATCATATTGAGGGTTACAGATTAAATATATGAATTAGGGAGGGAGGTACAATTCAATTCACGGCAGGGTCAGATCTTGTAAGGCACTCAAGGTCATGGAAACATTTTCGCTTTTACTCTGAGTGGAATGAAGAATCATTGCTTAGTTTTGGCCAGAGAAGAGGTAAGAAATACTTCACATTTTGCAGGATCACTGCAGCATCTATCTTAAGAACTGATTGTAGAGAGTACGTAGAACTTGAGACCAACCTAGTGATTTTTGCAACAACCCAAGCTTGACCTGAGAATAGCTTAGACCACAGTTAAGAGATTAAGAAATCTAGATGATAATGAGATTTCCTGATGGATATGGCAAGTAAGAGAAAAAATGATTTTGGATTTTTCTATCTGAGCAACTAAAAGAATGAAGCTATCAACAGAAATTGGGAAGACTTGTAAAGCAGGCTTGGAAAAAACATAGAAATTAAATTTTGGAATCTTTAAAGTTTGAGATGCTTATTGAATATACATTTTAAGTTGTCAGCTTTTGCCATATTTAAAATCATTGGCCAATGAAATCATCAAGAGGTTATTTTTAAATAGAGAAGAGGACCAAAACTTAACACTAAGCAATCTTGAGAAAAATAAACAGAACCAGAAAAAAATGAGTTTGTTGAAAAATAATGTAATATAGTTCTCTGAAAACTATGTGAAGAATGGCTATCAATGGTATTAAATATGTCCAACTTGGCGAATATGCTATATAAGATATTTTATTGAGAACTGACAGACTATTTATCAGTGTGAATTGTATTGGTGATCTTGTGAACAGTTTTAGTGCAGAAGTGAATTTTAAAGCCTGGTGGTTTTACACATAGAAATAATTCACTAAGCATAAAAAATGTTAATTTTATGTAAGATATCAAATATGTTTATAAAAATAAAAAATAAAATTAATTTTCCTAATATATAAGTATTCCATAGGCATTAATGCACTCAAAGAAAAAGTGAAACATAGAGGGTAAAGATGGCAATTGAAATACAGAGTAATGTTTGAAAAATAATGTGTATTGATTGTAATAAATACATACAGACTTGAGACTAGCTCCACCTTCCAACTAGGAGTCATTAGTTATGGGCTGCATAAAGTAATTTTGGTTTTAATAACTTATACTTTATATTATTAATCATTAATATTATGACTATCAAATTAGGAATAAAAATCTTAAATATTCTGTAGTCACCAAAATTGCCTATATCTATATGCAGAACCCCATGTGTTTTTGGAACTATGTGCATAGCCCCGGAACAGAACAAATACAAAGTCCATATCTTGGCTCCTGGGCACCCCGCCTCCATCATTTCCTGTTGCGCCCTTTGGGAGGCTGTCCATCCTGGGAAATCACAAATGTCCATATTCCCACAAATCTCTATTACACTTCCTTTAAAGGATAGTTCCTAAACCCTGATTTCTGAAAATTGAAGCTTCTGAAACTTTTTAACTTCATCCTTTCTCAAAAATTCAACATGGCTCATATTCAACAATAGTAGCAACATTTTACTGAGCACCCATTATTGCTCAGCCACGGCCTTTGGTATCTGCTTCACATAGACAACTAAGGCCATCCTCTTAGCACAACCCAACATTACAGCCCATGAAATACAGTGACAGGGAGTACTGAAGGCCCTCAGGATGCCCAGAGAGGGAAATGGAAACTAGATTGAGCAAAGGAGTAGACTGTGACATCTTTAGATAGAAAAGTAAGTCTTTTTTTTTTTTACCCTACAAGAAGCCATAATTCTATTAATGAGAGTGCAAATGAAAAACTAAGCTGCAGTTACTCTTTTGAAATGCACCCTCCCCCCCGCAAAAAAAAAAAAGTCCCCATTTTTAGGTGGTTATATTGTTAATTCCATAATACCATTTACAATATCATTGCTGTTGTATTTCAGGGCAAGGACTGCCTTTGCTCTAGACACATTTGCTTGTGACATGACTGGTTCCATGTCCTTAACTTCCACACCTGTTTCATCAGCCTTTTCCTCTTTACTTTCCTCCTCTATGGTTGGAGTTTGTGTGTTTTCTTCAACATTTGAGACTGCTTTACCTTGAACTTTGAATTTCTCAGCAGCTGCTACCTGTGCTTGCTGAGATAAATCCTCTATCTTGGCTTCCCCCAAAGCTGTGTAGGTATCTGAAGCCAGGCTCTTGTAGGCACATCTGGTTTTTGATGACAAAGGATATTCATACATTCCCAGATAATGATCCTAATGACCCCCGTAACCTGTCGAAGATCTAATATGGACATAGCTTTCCTTGTCTTCTTTTCACTCTGGCTATGTTTTGCTTTATTGACTGGCTCTTCATGGATTTCGCCCCTGCTGCCAGCTGGTCTTGTTGTGTGGTTGCCTGTGTGGAATCTGGTTCCTCAAGCTCTGGTACTGATTCATCATTGTCAAATTCTCTTCCAGACCCTGTCTCAGCCTGGGGATGTGGCAACTCCCACTCTCTGTGGTAGGGACAGTTTCTGTGGCTTCACTGGGTGTGTTGTGAAGGGAATGGATCCAAGGTAGCAGCGGAAAGAGAGGGAGCCAGAGAGTGACCCACGTCTGTTGCAGAAGAGAAAGCAACTCTTGAGAAGAGCTTCAAATTTAGCAATTAGGAGGAAAATGGAAAATATCCCAGGCAGGGAGAAAAGTACAGGTGATAGGGTTGATGAGAAAGATCAGGTCATATTTTTAAAGCTGTAAGAAATTTGAGCTGGGTCTAGTGCAGGGTCCCTATGAGAATGGCAATGGAGAAGTGGGATAAAAGACAGCTAATGAGTTTGAATTTTATTCTAAGTGAAATGTGAGAATTGCTGGAGAAATGTATATAAGATAGAAATGAATCTAATTTCTATTTTTCTCTGTGAACTAGAGACAGATGATTGCCATTCATTATTTAACATAGATCCACTATAAAAGAGAGAGAGAAAAAAAAAAAACCTAACAAACCTAACCTAACAAACGCTTATGAGCAATTTTGTATGTAAGAGCTTCCTCAGTATCCATGAAATATTCTTTATTATCATTCCATCATTTTGAGCACAAAAACAGAAAGGTAGATTGCAAAGGACAAAAAAAGATGGGAGTCGAAAGCAGAGCGATCAGGGTTTAAATCTTAACCCCATTTTACAACATTTAATGTTCTAGACATACCAAGAAAAATTGTGACTCTTCCTCATCAGGTTAAATATTACCTGAAATAATTTTGATTCATAAAAATAAATAAATACAATTGTTTGCCTGCATATGAGAGTCCTTTATGAAGAAATAGGTTTGATAAAGTGGTGTTCTAATTATAACATAAGAACCTGTTGTCATTAAATATTTTTAGCCAAATCTAATCTTGTGTATGTATATCTGCTTGTATTCAAGAGAATATACTTGAGTATTCTCACTTGTATTATTTTCAACTGAAAATTGTAAGAGAGGAACCCCATCCCTCTCTTCACATTAATTAGGATGGAATTGATTATAGGACAATTAGGGAAAACATTTCAGTGGAAGTCTATCTTAAACACAAATGTCACATTCCAAAATCTTTCTTAAGGATAAAAATTAAAGGATTAATTAGATAAAATCACACTTGCTTTTATTAATCCATCACTTATCACAATATGTTTATTATGTTAATATAATAAACATATTATTAATCCATCACATATCACAATATGTTTATTATATTAATATAATATAATAATATAAACATATTATTAACATATTTATTAATGGAAGAACTTGTCTAAGAAACATAGTATGTTCATCTGTCATTTAATCACACAGAATTGATTTTGAGATTATAGCAGAGACGTATTCTATTCAGGGCATTTTAAGAGATGTGGACATGTAATATATCATAGATTTCCTCAAGCAGCACATTTTCTAATTGAGGGTGCAACAGAAACAGGAGCTGACAATCTATAAGCAAACCTTTGCATAACTCAGTAACTGCAATCTGTAAAAGAGCATAGTGTCTGGATAGTGGAAGAGGTAAGTGTTAATCTGGACTTCAGTGACAGGTAAAGCAGAGAAAACTGAGCACTTTAGGTCAAGAAAGTAGGTCACAGGGAACTGGACTGATTATTGTCTAGAAAGAGTGGACCCATTAGGGATGGTGGATTCACACAATAGAGAACTCTCAAAGACTGGCGGACAAGTTTAGACTAAGTGTGACAAAAAAGAGAGTCAGATTAGTGTGTGAAGGAATGCCTTAAAAAATTTGGTGTGTTTTCCGGGCAATTCCCTGCAGTATGGATTGAGGCAAGGATTGCACAGTCTAAATAAAAAGCTATCTCTATATATCCATGAGAAAAAATCTAAGCACACTATAACAGTGCTTATTTTGCAGTATGCAGTTTGAGAGATTGGCAGTTCTTAAATAAATACCATTTTTTTTTTCTCTACTTCCAAGTTCACAGTATATTGTTTTCCCTTTTACTGCCCTACCTTTAGCAATGTTTACTTCACTTTGGTACAGCTTTCCTATTTTGACTCTGTCTCAAGTTTCTATTCTTAGATTCTAAACTTCAGGGCAAAGACTATCAACTTTTTATTTTCTACCATGTTCGGTGTCCTGTATCTAGTGACAAACAGAAAATAGCAACTGAAGAAGTAAATTAAATGAAAATTGAATTTCTGAATTGCACTTTCCTAGGCATCATGAATCATTACTTTTTACACATAACAAAAAATGTTTATTTAAATTCATTAATTTAAACATAATTATACTTTATTGATATTATCAATAAAATAAAGTTTTCATTATTAGAAAATCTAATGCAAATCCTCGGAAGAAAAGTAGAAACGCAGTGTGAGAAAGCTCTCAAGAGGTAGATTTTCTAACTAAATTTGCAGAGTGTGTGTAACAAACATATGGATGAAAGAAAAATAAAATAAAGAAAATAAAGATTTTCTTGCAAAATGACTAGATCTGTGTAGGTTTACAATTTGTCATCCTCTACTTCTTAATACATTGTGCATAACCATTAGCATCAAGTTTCAGGAGGACAGATTTAAACACAGTATGTTTTGCCACACAGAATGTGTTGCTACTTTTATGATTCCAAAATGTACTGTGCCCCTGGAACTGCAAATGTTGTCATATTAAAGCACTTGTCATTTGGATTTGCTAAAACAATAGCTTTTGCCAGAATTCACTCTTTCTGAAAATGATTGCCTTTTAGGAGTTCTCACAAATAGATTTATTAGCTCTCACACTGAATAAACCACCAAGAGCTTTCTATGCAGATTGGCCCCAGAAGCTGTTATAGAGGATATATTTCCAACTTATATGACAACATCCTTTACTTTTATGTTCTGCCCTTATGTGAATTGATGAATTGAGTTTTGTTTAAAAAATACAAGAAAATACAACAGAATGAAGCAGGGCAATTTCTTCTGTTTTTTTGTTTGTTTGTTTGTTTTATAAACCTAACTCTTAGAGTTTCCTTGGTTTTAATGTATACAAGCTTTTACTGAAGCAGAATTTTTCATGGTAAGGTTGCTAGAAATCAAGATTCAATGAGGATGAAATGAGGCAAATTTAAGAATTAGTAATAAACAAGAACATAAGAGTTATTTAGGAAATATAGTGTCTCTGTGTCTTCCTCCTCCTACTATGTTTTTGTTTATTTGTTTTTCTTTTGAGGATGTTGGTTGCTGTTCTTAAGGATTACATATGCATATAAAATTTTACATCTTGAGAAAGCATATTGTTTTGACAATTAAAATATTAAATTTGGTGGAACAAAAATGATTTAACTTACAGAAAAACTTTGGATATGCAGAGAGAAGAGGAGGGGAGAGCAAGTGAAAGAGAGGAAAGAAGGAGAGAAAGAGAGGAAAAGAAAAAATCAATACTGCCATTTGCGACAACATGGATGAATCTTGAGAATATCGTGCTAAGTAAAATAAGTCAAAGTTGAGAACCATAATTTCACTCCTATCTAGGATATAAAACTGAAAATAACAAATGAACAAAACAAAGACAGAAAAAACTCATAGACACGGACAACAGTATAGTTATTACCAGATGGGGTAGAAAAGGGTAAAGGGAGTTCAATATACCATGATGGAAGGAGATTTAATTTGGGGTGGTAAACAAACAGTACAATATACAGATGATGTATTATAGAATTGTACATTTGAAAGCTATATAATTTTATCAACCAATGTCACCCCAATAAATTAAATTAAAAAAAAAATGAGAGATTTCTAGAACCACACTGATTTTCAGCATGAAAAAAGAAAGGCATATTAACTCCAGAGATAATTACATTTCACACTAGATAAAAAGCACGGGTATCGCAATTATGAATTATCACATTGTGAGACTATTTATGTAAGTAGTTTTCACCGTCTTTCCACTTACATTTTTTGTAGACTAAGCAAGGACTCAGAGAACTCAGTGTGGGATGTTTTCTCTCAAATCCTGCCTACCATTTGTGTCTTAGCTGCCAGCGCCAAAGAGTTCTCTTCTGAAATAGAAAATAGTCCAAGACTCTCAAGGACTACATATGAATGGATCTAGTGCTGCATGATGTATATACTCCAAGGAAAAGGAAAAGCATATTCAGATAATTATTTCCCATATTTTCAGTAGAAAATATGTTTTAATTAAAAAAATAAATAGTATCTTATGATTAGGACTCAATTGGCAAAGTCGAGGTTTTGTGACATATTTTGTTGACTCTCTGTCTCTCTATCACACTGAAAGATCATAAGAACACTTGTTCTGAACTAAACATTCAGTTCTTTGATACTCAGAGAAGTCTCAGGTGGGCAGGATCAGCACAGAAGATGAGAAATGAAAGCCATCTTTAGCCTGAATCGTTTGGATCCTTCCTACGTACAGGTAAACAGAGGTAGTGCAATAGACTTGAAAGGTGTTCACCACATCTACCAGTAATGGGCCCCATGCTTTTCACTATTCCAAATTCAGCTTCTTATAATACTTAACAATTCTGATTATGACCAATTTTTCATCACATATCCACATGTGAATCTAACAAAATCTATGGACTCTTGTCCTAGGAAAGGACAAAAATATACAGGTACCACTCACTTTTCTAAAGTTTGCTGTACACTACAAGAGTACAAGAGACCTACATTAGTACCTGTTTTTGTTAACCTAAAGAAACCCAAAGAGGATTTTCTCTTTTACAAAAAAAAAAAGGGTGAAGAATGAAAATAGTTTCGTTGCTTTATGCCAGTTGGCTTATGAGAGATTTCATAAGAACTCTCTAACTTGAATAGCTGGGGGAACCTGTCCTTCTAACATAGACATTAATGGAAAGATGTTACGGCAAGGGTCAGGAGACCTAGTTTAGCTTTGGTTCAAGAAATACATTAAGGCATTTAGCTTTATGAATTCAACTCTATTACTGATAAGAGAGAAGGAAACCAAGATTAATGTGAATGAAGTGTATGAAAATACCTTCAAAAGTAAAAAGCGGTTTGTATGTATAAAATTTGAGTGTCAGAGAAATCTAAGAAAAAAACAGACCAATGGTATGTATGTTGGGGGTAGGAGCTGGAGGCAGGGGGGCAGTGCTCAATGTCCTACC